TATTGTGATATATGTATTATTTTACAAACCATGATATCTACATCTAAGAAGAGAGATAATTGTTTGTTTTTTCAGGATAGTAGATCATCATTTGAAGAAGACTCGCTGCCTTTCGCTATGAAAATTGGGAATGTAAAAGGAAGAGTTGGATTTTGAAATAGCTTTAATAAGGAAATGTTTTATATTATTTAAAAAATAAGTAGGTAAATAATGTAGTATTATTAAAAGATATAAAATGACAATGTGTATAATTAGCCATTAATATAATGCATAATAATAGCTTAAATGATTATTTTTAATGTTATTACAATTAAATTTGATTATATGGCATAGTTCTGTGAACTTATGACCAAAATATGTTGGGAAGTTTACAGATTTTGGTATCCATTTGGAAACCAAAAAGGAGTCGATTTTATAATAGAAATAAAAATTTATTCTTGAATATATCAAAATATCTACTGTCATCGTTCGTTTTGTATGACTTTAAGTATGTATTATTGTGTCAATAATGAAAATCTGAATTTAGTTCAGGTGTTGACTGTAATTAATTATAATATTACATTATTAATAAAAGCACCAATTAGGTAATTTTTTTTCAGAATGTGTCAAATGAAAGTAAATAATATTTGTTACCATTATTTGATAGTCATTATTTTAATTAAATGTTCAGGATATGGAAATAAAAAATACAGATTTATTATGTTGGTCTCTCAATGGCAAATGTAACAAAATTTTTAATATTGATTACCATTCCTAGTTTGTGTGTCTTACATTTTATGTGTACAAATTGATTTTTGTTACTGATGATGTATGTGGATACAGCCATCGATATTTATTTTAGAATAATTTTCGAAGTGATTCTGATATAGTCAATTTTAGAAACTATGTTATTGATATAATTTAGGAATATTTAAAAAATATTTTCTCACAGTGATCCATTTAAATGTTAAGTAAAACAAGTTTATCTAATGAAGATGGTACATAATGATGGTATTCAATCAAAGTCACAAAACACATGTGAGTTTTCTCTAAGTTTAAAATATATGATAAAATTGTCTCTCTGGTTTATTTTTTTTTTTCTACAATCAATGGAACATTAATTAAATGTATGGAAATGCATTCAATTACTGTTCCATTGGCAATTTTTTTCCAAGTATGCTAAATAAAATATGCATGACGAACCATTATTTATTCTTTTAATTATTCACATAAGATCCTTTAATATTAATATATATTATTTTTATCAAATATTACATTTTAATCAATGACAGAAAACATCTAAGTTGTCCGTGTTCTATCAAATATTAATTTTGTAGCTAGCGAACGCTTAGTTTACATCACTCATCATCTAACTTCAAAAACGTGCTTACAGCCCAGTTCTACCAACGTCCGAACGGCCGGATAAATCTTCGGCTCAACAACTACACGTACTACAAACACATGAAAGCGCGCACCGGCGCCCACAGATGGAGCTGCACGGCTTACGGCAGCAAATGGAAGTGTCGCGCCCATCTCATCATCACGGACAACCTGGAAGTGCTCAGGGCGAACATACTGCACACGCATCCGCCTCACGTTTACCGAGTCGACGAGAACGGCAGGCACATCAGGGTCATGCACAGGAAGGGCTTCGTGAACGGCCAGGGCGGGTTCGACAGGAGCGTCGAGGACAACGTGCCGGTGCCGAAGCTGATACCCAAGAATCAAGGGCCCCAGATGCAACCCTGCACGTCGTATTACGATCATCTGATACCGCATAGCATCTTCAATCATATCATGTAGATGTGTCGCACGACTCCCCCAATCGATGTCGATTAACGTGTGCTGTAAAATTTTCTATACTTCTTTTTTTTCTCTATCGTGTTCCGAGAAGAAATCTCGTAAATACGACACGACATGCGTATACGTCGATACTGCGATATTTACAGCGTTTCGTAGCGTGTTCCAATAACTTCACGTGTTTATATTTATTCGAATTGAGTAAAACTATCGGGTACAAACTGAACGTATTGTTATCTTTCGGAAGTTGCGACGCTCGCAGCTTCGTTTTCGTTCACAAAGGGCGCGGTCCAGTGTACTGCGGATTGCGCCTTGTCGCAAAGGGTAGAAAGACAACAAGCGCAAATAATTTCAGGGCCTGATCTAACGCAATGTACTTGCGGATCCGTAGGTGGATAGTGGTTATATTTGTAAGGATAATTTCGTATGGTATATTACGTCAGGAATCTTTGTAAGCTAGTATTTTTTAGAAAGGTGTGTAGTGTTAAGGAGCCTGTCAAGTGCGAATCGGCTTTTCGCAATTAGTGTTCCGTACAGGGATTTTTATTACGTATGTAAAATAAATTGGGCATTACTTTCAGAATTTAGAATTAGGAATTTGCCCTTGCCGAGAATGGATTAACAGCTTTTAATAATTTTCGAGAAATAATGTTTTGACAAAAATTGATTTTGTACTAGTTTTCGCCCACGATTGTGCTGTTTAACGGATTGTCTATAATAGTAGATATATTTACCTACGTCGTTGGATGTTGCCATCTTTCTCTTCGTCATTAGCATTAATGACTAGGAAAAAAATATATAGCGCTATTTCAGTGTCCTTAAAATACATTTTGTGAACATTTTTGCTTTTCGTTTCCACTACAAGTCCGAGTGTTCGCGTCTTAGTCTATTTTAAGGCTACAACCAACAACTGTAACATGTATCATGTTTCAGTATTATACATGTAATAATGTCCAAGGGAAAGAGCTGCGAGATACAAACAGGCCAACGGGCAGACGTGGAAATCATCCAACAAGCGTATTTTAATTTTTTTTTCATTTCAGTACGGAACACTAAAGCAAATGGGTTATCAAATTATGGGGGAAAAAAAACCTAATTAGGATTAAATCAAAAATAGAGGCCACACAAACAGTTTTTAGATATTTTGATTTCGAGTATTATTTTATCGTGAGTTTTATTTACACATTTTTTTTTTGTGTTAAAATGTAATAGATACCTAATAATTTTTAATCAAGCTACAACTTACGTCATCACATTTTAGATATTAACATACTTAAGCTTGGAAACTTAATTCTATATGTGTATTGTTAGTGTGTAATATTTTTTGTATTATTTGCAACAGTATTATTGATAATCATGCATTTACTTTTTTAATATTAATTTTTATTTTAAAGATCGATAGGTACTAAAAACAAATATATGTATATATATAGACTTTCACACGTTCTTAAAAGTGACCTTTCTATGAATATACTTGAAAAATGTACTGAAAATGAGATATCGGTAAAACCATATATTTTTAATATGTAAGAACCTTATTCACTAAGGCTGAATTCAAACATTTATACCGACGATTGTAGCGTAATCGAGATTTACTCGTAAAATTTGCTTGACGTCAAACAGACGCGATTGTTTCTTCTCAGACATAATTCACTCTACGATTACGCCCCACTGTTAGTGTTAAGTGAATGTAATGTTGTTTAGCATTCGTGTGTAGCTGTCGTAATTTAACAAATAGACCTGCCAGGTAAACGTCAAATCAACTATTGACGAATCAATTTGAAGTTACTTTGTAGACGTGTTATTGCGCGATGGATAAAATGCCCTATTTAATAATTAACATATATAATTAATTTTCAGATATAAAACATATCTTGAGAAAAGTTATTTCAGTATTTAATTTGAATATTGATATTCAAACAATTACAGGGCCCGTTGTTATTCCGTATTTTTTCATTTTCAATTAAAACAGAAAATTTCAATAGTTTGACTAGTACTAGAAATTAGAAACTTTGTATTCATTACTTATGAAAAGTTTTATAAACATTTACTGAAAACTGTTAAAACATCACAAAAAAAAATAACTAAGATTTCATTTTTCGGACTGATTTAGATATAATAATACCTTGTCTTGTGTGCTGCTTTTTAGGTTTACTAGATTAGAATTAGGATGACTAGCGGAAACTTAGTCTCTATGTTCCTTAACGTCACATCTTTATTAATTCGTCATTTCAACCCCCATGCTTCTGTTTTGACGTAAGCATTCCGTCACTTTCGTTCATCATTAGTGTTAGTTAATCAATCGCCCAAGTAAACTATTCACAGTGGCGGATCCAAGGAGTGTTCATGGAGGCCATGGCTCCCCCACAGGCTGGGTCCTTTATCTTTGTGTTGTAATCGAATTAGAGCCAGTTCTGACTGAACTTCGAATGTGTGATCCCCTTTCTGACTCGAAGGCTGGATCTGCGCTTGCGCCTTTGATTTCTATTTATTTATCTAATTATCGATTCATTATGTTTATATTATTTTATTTTGTATACGGCCTAATATACATTTTTGAACTTCGCTCAAGATATGGTGTACCCATCATATTGATGAAAATAATGAATTTTTCTCTTGATAACATCTTATCGTATAGCGGCTGTTATTTTTTTTTATTTAAGTAATAAAATGCCGACATTAGGACAATCAAATCGAATAAAGTGAATACCAACCAGATCATTCAAGTTTGGTAAACGGTTTACCTATGTCATCAAATAATTGTCTTGACTATTTATGGCCCTATGCAGTCTGACCGAAACATAAAAGTTTTCTTAACAAGTAGATAAAATTTGTCACATCAAGAGATTTTTGTCAATTGAACTCTACAACGTTGATAGCAACAATGTCGAACTTACTGTTGAGGAAACACTTGTTATTTACAATGGATGTACATTTTCTCATTATTGTTTTTTTTTCTTTTTTAAATATCTATTTTGCGAAACTTGCGTTACTACAAGGAAATGGAAAATATAAATAACTTTTGCAACCACATTTCTTACGTATTGGGTATCTATTTAACAATATTGTTTAAAACTCAAAACGAACTCTTGCATTTCCTGATATAAATAATTGGAACGAAGTTCTTTTTCGCACGTTACACTCGGGAGCTACACGAAAAAAAGTGTAACCGCAACAAAAAATGCTGACCGCTGTTGCTTTAATTAACATATTTATAACCCACGTCCATACCACGCTGAATATACCGGTTCTCATCTGATCACCGAAGTTAAGCAGCGTCGGGCGCGGTCAGTACTTGGATGGGTGGACCGCCTATTAACACCGCGTAATGTTGGCTTTTTTGATGTTGCATTCTTTCTTTTTGATGTATTTTTCGTTTCATTACTTTCAAAGCTTGTTAATTTATTTCATTATATTCGTATACGACTGATATTTCCATTTTTTTTTTTTTTTTTCTTAAAATATTAAATAAAACTCTTGATTGCTTCAGTTCTGGAGCGTATTCAATTTTAAACTTTCAATAAATAAATACTTATACAAATATGTGAAAGATACATCTATTATTGGTTTCATAATTATATAATGTTGCAAATTAAGGAACTTAACAAAGTATTTAATAAATAAAACAAATAACGCTGTGTAGTGTTTTTTTTTTAGAATTTAAAAAAAATAAAAAATATTTATTTACAACTTACAAATCTTACCATTTACAATTCACTTATATTATTATTTATTTAATTACATTCAAACGTTTTAATGCATTTCATTGTTATTATTCAATTCGTTAAATAATTACATATAGTGAAAGGAACTTCGTTCCGAGTGCCCCAAAGACACCTCGTGACTTTTTTTATCTTAATGTTCTATGCAAATGACCGCCTACGATTCAAGTTTACGCTACTATGCAATATTTAATTTTTTCCGACCTCTTAAATTTTCGCCGACTGTACATTCGCTTAAGGACCCAAGCTCTAAATCGTACTTATATATAAAGCGAAAAATATTCATCTAAAATACATTCATACGTTAGTTGAATTATATAAAAAGGACGGACAAACGGACGGATTTTGTCGTTTACGCGCTGTATGAAGGGGATTGATGATTATGCCAGAACAGAAGACGGGGTAAATCACTTAAGACTGAAGCGATGTGAATATGGACCTGTATTATTTAGAACTTATTTTCGTTATTGAGATTAACGGTACCATTTCTTTGCGGACCCTACCGAAATAATTGGAACGGGATATAAAATAATTGGGAAGGTGTGCCGTTTTTTTTTTCATATGAAAGCAAGAATTGGTAAAACTGCTAGGGTTGCTGTAAACGGTTGAAAACTATTTTAGGTAGCTTTCGCCTATGCTATGCTTGTCTTTGGTATGTAATTATGTTTTTCAGCCAGTAACCAATAAGTAAGGTATTACTTAGGACTGAATAATTCATTAAATATAAGTACTTTTTTTGATCACCTTTTTTATATGTAATTCACTAATAGATTTCGTTTCTATTTTACAACAAGAACGAGCGATAATAATATTTCTTATGATATTCAGTGCTTTTAAATATATAATAATTAAGTAGTATTTAATAATATGAACATTATCACTAGTTATAAGTAAGATTTTTCCATTTGATTGCCAATTTTAATGTCTTTATGAATTATTTCTTGTAATGTGATTAATTCGTATCGATTGCGTCTTTTTTATTATTTTGTAATGGAATTAAACATTCGTAATTATTATGGTTTATTTTGATGTGTCCTGTATTAAGTGAACTATGAAAAATTCTTATTATTCAAATTATTTGCACATACTTCTGAAAAAAAATTATTGATAATAAATTTATTACTTTCAACAATAAGTGGAATGCGTTTTTCATCATCAGAACCAGAAATTTTTCTACAGTTGAAAAATTTTAATGACAAAATAAATTAATTCAAATAATGGAGTATATACAACTATAGTTTACACGTGGAAATGTTTTTGAATACTTAGCTTTTTTTTCAATTGGAAAAATTGTAAAAAGTAAGGAAATGATCATCACTTCCAAGCTCTAACTTCGTTAAAATAGACGATTGAAGTCGAATATTATGTTTACGAATATTTGTCCTTTAAATATTTGGATATTTGATTATACCTTTAATAATAATGTTACACTTATTAATAAAATGCTAAATTGTGTATATCTACGGGGACCTAATTAAAAATATGCAACCAGAGCTTTGACCCTCTATATCTATCGTTTTATATGTCAAGGTGCTAATTTTTGTTAAACTTAGTTCTAAGTTTTTCAGGAAATTCTAGCTTCAAAACTGTTCGAATGGCTTACTTCTCTAAAGCAAGATGTCAGGTGTCATCGGATTATGAAAATAGACAAACTATATTAATCTATAAGACTTCATCAGATACAAAGTATATAATTCAGAGAATTTCCCACTAACATTGTAATATCAACAAACTAATTCCTTGTTTCTTGTTAAAATAATACCAGATCGATCTTACATATTCGGAAGTGGACATTTTATATATTTTGTTTTCTTCTTGTTTAGAAGTTAGTTATTTACAAAAAATCATTTCTCAACTTTGTAAATAGCATTTTCACATCGTCACAGGCTAGTTGTTGCGTCTTGTAGAACAGTGAGATAATAATCTACACCATCACATGAATATTAGTAACTAGGGTAGGTAGGTCATCAATATAAAGCAAAAATAGGAACGGCCCAAATACTGATCCCTGGGGGTACCACCATATTATGCAATCAAATGCCTTGAGACATGGTGAAACACTCCCATCACATCCTGTGAATCCTCATTATTGAACAAGCTTCGATATTGAATCAGCATCGATTGTTGAGCGATCTCGAGTGAAACCGAACTGTTTTCTGGGCATCAAATTAATATTTTAAACAACGAATTAACAGCAATAAAAATAAAATACTAAATATCGAAAGTACAGGTATAGGACTAAAGTTGATAGGGTTTAATTTACTATCATCTTTGGATAAGGAAATGACTACCTTCTTTCATTAGGTTGGGAAACGCCATCATTCAGGTACATATGAAACACAAACTTCAAGTGTGGCGCTATGCAATCAGTGATGGAGTATTCGATTTTAACTAAGATACCATGGAGATCGGTAGTTTTTTTCATTTCTAACGACTTAATTTTTGATGACCTCCTCTAAATTTATGTATTTGAATTCAAAATGATTGCTATTGAACGAAGTGTTTTAATGATTTGTTGTGGGGTTGTCATTAATTATATGACATTTAGTGGTTGAAATAAAAAAAAAACATTTCAAAGACTATATTAAACTCAATGTTTTTGACGTGGATACGTCTGTTTTCATTTTTAATAGAGGTCATTTCGTTGAGAGGATATAAGCTGACGCTATTTTTTGGTGTATAAGTGAACGAAGTAACCTACTTCATGCAGTCGTGCCAACAGATGGCGTTGTTTAGATCTATATTTTTTTTTGCTTTTTATTTGATAATATTCGCGATTGTATAATATTTATGTAGCCACTATTTTTTTTTTCTTTCAATTACAAATATTTAAACCAATTTATTCCTTTCATGTTTACATACCTAATTCGTTAATATACTTTGGTAAAGTATACATATGGTTTAACCCTTTGAGGGCGCGATCATAAAAATACCTCCTCCCCTCGCACGCGCAACTGTTTTCTATTATCCTTTGCACAGCACAACCTACTACAAACTCAATGAAATGTACTGAAATGCTGATATGTCTATCATTTTACTGTATTTTTTTCGATTTACATTTAGATTCTTAATGCACATGAAATACATTGTTACAGACTTTATATTTTAATTGAAATATAATATGAATGTAAACTAACTAGAATCACATTGGTTAAATTTCACTGCACATGTTTTATGCCAGCTATCACTGCAAAATGCAATGACCGATTCGCTCTTGGCCACATTCAACACTATTTTATTAAATATGTAATAATTTCAAAATGAAATGAAGTTGAGATAAAACTATTATCATAATTCATCACTATAAATTATTTAAAATGTAATAAATCACCTAGATAATATATGAAATCGACATGTAAAATAAAATCATAACCGCCATTTTATACATCTAAACGGACAAAGGAAATTTTAGGCACATATTTTTTGTATCTACTTTTGAGAAATACTATGAAATATATACTTCACTATGCTGCAAAGTGTTTTACGTATTTTGATTAATATATATATCAAAAGAAAACACTCGCAAGTAATTTTGTAAAATGGATAAACAGAGATATCGACAAATAGGCGACGACAGCGCTATCGCGAAGTGAACTGAACGATTATTCATTTTATAAATACATTTAAATTTTTTCGGCAAAAATGACACGAAAGGTAGATATTTTTTACTACCTTATTTCCTTAAAAATACGATTCGATTTCGTATACCAAACTAGTATAACCCAAAAATTTAAAGTTAATTTTTTTTGTGCGGCGCCGTAGAAACATAAACAGCGCGGCTTCCATCGAAGCCGCGCACGTTCGAGGAATTGAGGAATCTTGCGGCCCACACGGACAATGTGCACGTTAAAACCCTAAGTTCATAAGAACCTCGTAAATACGTATTGAGGATACGCATAAACGTATCCTCGTAAAACTTACGAGGTTACGTATAAGAGTTACAAAAGTTACAGCCAACAAGGATTTTCTTTTTTAAAATCTTGTCACCCGTTTTAAACTGAAAGTTGAGATTACAACCTTTTTCCTCCAGTTTTTCTTTATAATACTCCAAGTTCCTTTTAATACGTTTATTAAAACGAACTTGGAGTATATTTTGGAATAACTTGGAGTAATTTTTACATATATCATGCAGTGCAAGTTTATTATATATTTAAATATTTAAGCAACTTCTCACGTCGGAACTTATGTATTTCAACGGCAAACTCGAACTACGCTGAGCAAAGTTTCGTTGCCCAGGTACTATTATGTTGACAATTTTATAATCAAAACAGACAAGGTTTGTTATAAATACATAACAAATATATTTATAACAAACATATTTGTTATGACAATGCTACACGTATTTTGAAAGGAATAAATTAAAAAAAGCCCAGCTGGTAAAACAACGTGACACCGATCGACAAGCCTGGTCCAAGTGTATTTAAAATTTTCGGAGATCTGTACTACAAAATATTTTGGTTAATTATGTAGAAAGGTTACAAATTAATATTTTTTCTTTGTTTTGATTAAAAAAAACAACATTTATTTTCAGTATAAGTTGTATTCTTATATTTATTCATTTTTTTGTGTTCTGTGTTTTAAGTACGCAATCTACAAGAACTCAGAAGGT